TACCTAAAGAAAACTAAAAGACATGTTTTTGGATTTTTTTATTTTTTTAAATTTTATTTTGTTAGACTTAAATCCCTCAAGAAAGCTGCCTAGGAGGTCAATCTTCGGGAAAAGTCCAAATTTTGCATCAATTCTTTTTGATTTTCCATATATTTGCTTTTTTCCTTTCATTAAGCTATACTAAAATAGAAAAGAATAAGCTAATCTAGAATATACTAAACTAAAAAAACAAAAAAACTAACAATTAATCTACTATTTACATACCAAAGAGGATCCCCCACCCCACACTTAAAGTATGAAATGTCCTCAGTGCATATAAATGCAATAAATATTCAAAAGGGTGGTAAGAAAATTCTCTGGTAACTCCTCTTCATCGTAACGATTCCACACTTAAAATTTTAGCACATGGCCCTTCCATCAAATCAAGTTTACTCAGACTTCACCTTGCACAATTTAAGCACGTTAGCATCATCCAATCAACTAGTTTGCATGTAAGCATAACGTAATCACCATACTTTTAACAATATACTCGGCTCCGGTGAGCCACCCTACACTTAAAATCTTATGTTATTCAGGCTCACAAACCACTAGCGTATCACCCCGGAGACTCGGGCTCCAATTGGGACAAATATTGCATTTGAGGCATTTTTATAAACACTTGGCGCACACTAGTTGTGTAAGCTCTTATGTGAGTGAGAGATTGCCTCACCCTCCAAAATCGATTTGGAATTTGAGTGTACCCACTCATGTAATCAACAATCACATTTCTATGGGGTTTATGAGGGTGTGTCTGCTTGTGCGGGAAGGGGTGAGATAAAAGTAAAATAAGAGAGAAGAGAAGACTTACCTGGGAGCCGCGAGCTAGGACGTGAGGCTGCCCGCGTGATTGTCCTAGAGACGCCAAATGTGGGGCAAGGTGGTGAGCTGGGCGGCGTGAGGTGTCTCGCGAGCTGGAGCTCGCGCCTGGGCAAGCGCCACTAGGTGTAACGTGAGGTCCATACCTCGCTAGGCATGGTGTGGGGCGTGCACATGTGATTTTTCATTCTGTTTTCGATCCCTTTATGCGTTTTGATCTTCCGATCTCGCTCATGTACCTATTCAAATACTGAAAATCAACCGGTTAGTACCCAAAAGCAAAAATAAAAACTCACATTAAATAAAATAATCTACGAATTGGGTTGCCTCCAACAAGTGCCTTAGTTAATGTCATGGCATGATATTTAGTTAACGTCATGGCATGATATTTACAACATCACCATGGGTTGCCTCCCATGAAGTACCTGATTTAATGTCGCGGCACGACATGAACGACATGCTCAAGCTGGATACTTTTATTTCCTCCTCTTTTCATGGAGTTTTGCCTTCTTACATGCTCTAGGAGGATCTCCTCTTTCCTCTATGACCCTTTTCTCTTTTACCTTTACACATTCAACTCGCAACACCACATCTTCTAACTCGATTTTTTTTCCATGCCACTAAGCTCCACATAAAGACCTTGCTTTATATACTTCGATTCTAACACAGAGATATTGAATAAATCCTTATAATGCTTGGGAAGTTTAAGGGCCTTGTACACATTAAAAGTGACTTCCTCATCATGTACTCTCATCTTCATCTTTTCTTCCCTCACGTATATAATTGCTCCACCAATAGCCAAGAATGGTAACCCTAAAATAATAGGCACTTCTTCATCTGCCATGTAGTCAAATATAATAAAGTTTGCGGGAAAGATGGACTTCCCCACTCGTACGAGCACATATTCAATAATCCACTCTAGCATTGCCAATGACCTATCCACTAGCTGTAAAGTGATCGCTGTACGCCTAGGCACTCCCAATTCGAGCTGCTTGAAAATAGATAAAGGCATCAAATTAACACTTTCCCCTAAATCACATAAGGTTCTACCAATATCATGTTTCCCATTGGCCAATGGAATTGTAAAACATCTAGGATCCTTCAACTTTGACGGGAGCTTACTTTGCACTCTAGCACTGCACTCGGTAAGTGCAACTCTTTCAAACTTGACATGCCTTCTCTTATTAGCCACAATATCTCTAAGATACTTTGCATATTTGGGCACTTCTTGCAACATTTCCACCAAAGGCAGATTCACACGTACCTGGCTCAAAATATCTAAGAACTTTCTATACTTGCTTCTATACGTACCAATAGCAGGTTTAACATTCTGATTGAAGGCTACTTGCTCGAATTGCCTCTCCAAATTTTTTAAATCAGTCCTGACTTGTTGATTGTCAAGCCGTAGTTGTTGATTGTTGGTTCCAAGCTGTTGGTTGTCAAATAATAACTTTTTCAACCAGTCATTTGTGCTCTCTTCTGCTTGCTGTGGTGGTGTCTGGGTTTGGTTGAAGTTTCCTTGGGGTCTGTATTAATTTTAATTTTGACTTTGATTGACCCCATGAGAAGTCTGGGTGATTGCTCCAGTTGGGATTATAAGTGTTCCTATATTGCGCATTTTGGTTCATTCAACCTTTACTTTGCTGGCCCACAAAATAAATTGATTCTGGATTCACTAGACATTGGTTACTCGTGTGACATTCTCCAAAAATTTCACAACATATGGCCATCCTCTGAACCTGCTGCATTTGATGCCCTTGACCCACTGCTATCTTAGCCACTTGGTTGGTCTGTTTAGAAATTTCTGCTTGCATGACTGACATCTCATCAAACTCGAGTGTAGCTACTGCCTTTTGTCTTATCATTCTTCTTGGTTCACCTTCACCTTGCCAGTTATGATCATTCCAGTGATGTTGTTTAGTAGGGTCTGAATTTCACTATATGGCTTTTGCATGAAACTACCTCCACAAGCTGAGTCTAGATTCAATTTAGAGGTCTCGTCCAAACCATCCACAAAAGTATGATCCAAAACTTCATCAGTTTAACAGTGATGCGGGCAATCTCTAAGTAGTTTTTTATATCTATCCCAAGCTTGATGTAGTGTCTCGCCATCCTTTTGTTGAAACCCCAGAATTTGGCTTCTCAGTTACTTTGTTTTCTTTGTGGGAAAGAATTTGATGAGGAATTTCCATGCTAGAACATCCCATGTGCAGATTGAGTTTGCTAGCTCTTTGTTCAACCACTCCTTTGCTTTCCCCGACAGAGGAAAGGGAAATAAAGTCAGTTTGACATAGTCCTTGGAGATGTTAGGATAGTTTGTATGTATTTGTGATCTCCAAAAAATTCTATATGTGCCTTTGCAGATATTCATTTGATAAACTCAAAAATTACCCTGTGGATTGAATCAACTGCACCATGTGCTGTTTCATCTCGAAGTGCCTACTTATGCCAGGCTTCACGATAGCCGGAGTCATGTTCGCGAGACTAGGCCTTGTGACCTCAATCACTGGTCTATCATCATTCTCTGCCATCTTGATTGGCTGTGGTTGGACTACAATGCCTAACTCTATAGCTATTGCTCTTGCTTCCACCTCCCTACTTAACTTGTGAAAGAGACTTTAAGGTTTCAGGAACATGGGGAGGAAGATTGTTCAAACCGTTACTTCTTCTTAGTATTCAATATGAACACTTGTAGAGTCAGAAACAGTAAAATAAATTAAATCTCGAAGAAAAACAAATTAAAGCCTATTTCAGAAAAGTAGCTACTTTTTAAATCCCTGACAGCGGCGCCAAAAACTTATTGGGTTCAAATGCACATGCAAGTATACATAGTTGACAAGTAATAAAGTGATAAAAAAGTATTGTTCCCACGAGAATTTATGATCAACTACTGCCTAAACTAAACTAGTTACAAGTTATTTGTTCAAGATATTTTGAGGAAGATGATTGTGGTTTTAACTTTCTAAATTACTACGAAACTAATAAGCAAATAAGAGAGTAAGATCGCAAGTAGAGCTAATAAACACGCAGGAGTGAATTCAATATGATGGGGATATTCCAAGGTTATGGGATTAATGCCTCTCCTATTGCATAATTTAAGCACGTAGCATCATCCAATCAACTAGTTTGCATGTAAGCACAACGTAATCACCATACTTTTAACCATATACCCGACTCCGTTGAGCCATCCCACACTTAAAATCTTATGTTATTCAGGCTCACAAACCACTAGTGTATCACCCCGGAGACTCGGGCTCCAATTGGGACAAATATTGCATTTGAGGCATTTTGATAAACACTTGGCGCGCACTAGTTGTGTAAGATCTTGTGCGGGTGAGGGATTAACTCACCCTCCCAAATCGATTTGGAATTTGAGTGTACGCACTCATGTAATCAACAATGACATTCCTATGGGGTTCATGAGGGTGTGTGTGCTTGTGTGGGAAGGGGTGAGATAAAAATAAAAGAAGAGAGAAGAGAAGACTTACCTGGGCACCGCGAGCTAGGACGTGAGGTTGCCCGCGTGACTGTCCTATCGAAGCTAGGTGTGGGGAAAGATGGTGAGCTGGGCAGCGCGAGGTGTCTCGCGAGCTGGAGCTCGCACCTAGGCAAGCGCCACTAGGTGTAACGCGAGGTCCATACCTCGCTAGGCATGGTATGGGGCGTGTACATGTGATTTTTCATTCTGCTTTTGACTCCTTTATGCGTTTTGACCTTCCGATCTCACTCTCGTACCTATTCAAACACTAAAAATCAACCTATTAGTACCCAAAAGCAAAAATAAAAATCAAATTAAATAAAATAATCTACGAATTGGGTTGCCTCCAACAAATGCCTTAGTTAACGTCATGGCATGACATTTGCAACATCACCATGGGTTGCCTCCCATGAAGCACCTGATTTAATATTGCGGCACGACATAAACGACATGCTCACAGACGCTTTTGTTTCCTCCTATTTTTTTGGAGTTTTGTATTCTTACATGCTCTAGGAGGAACTCCTCTTTTCTCTCTGACCCTTTTCTCTTTTATCTTTACACATTCAACTCGCAACGCCCCTTCTTCTAACTCGATTTTCTTTTCCATGCCACTAGGCTCCACATAAAGAGCTTGCTCTATCAACTTCAATTCTACCATAGAGATATTTCATAAATCCTCATAATGCTTGGGAAGTTTTAGTGCCTTGTACACATTAAAAGTGACTTCCTCATCATGTACTCTCATCTTCATCTTTCCTTCCCTCACGTATATAGTTTCTCCACCAGTAGCCAAGAATGGTACCCCTAAAATAACAGGCACTTCTTCATCTGCCATGTAGTCAAATATAATGAAGTTTGCGGGAAAGATGGACTTCCCCACTCGTACGAGAACATATTCAATAATCCCCTCTAGCACTGCCAACGACCTATCCGCTAGCTGTAAAGTGATCGTTGTAGGCCTAGGCACTCCCAATTCGAGCTGCTTGAAAATAGATAAAGGCATCAAATTAACACTTGCCCCTAAATCACATAAGGCTCTACCAATATCATGTTTCTCATTGGCCAATGGAATTGTAAAACATCTAAGATCCTTCAACTTTGGCAGGAGCTTACTTTGCACTCTAGCACTGCACTCCGTAAGTGCAACTCTTTCAAACTTGGCATTTCTTCTCATGTTAGCCACAATATCTCTAAGATACTTTGCATATTTGGGCACTTCTTGCAACACTTCCACCAAAGGTAGATTCACATGTACGTGGCTCAAAATATCTATGAACTTTCTATACTTTGCTTCATCTTTCTGTTTCTGTAGTCTTTGTGGAAAAGGTGGTGGCAACCTTGCATTTATCTCTTGCCTTTGTTTATCATCCTTCTTTTCGGCTTCTTTTACTGGATTAGGCACCAATTATCTTTCAGATACAGTCTTTTGAGAAGGAGGCTCCTCCAACTCTCTCCCACTTCTTAGATTAATTACTTGCATGTGTTCTATAGGATTCTTCTCAGTGTCACTTGGGAACACTCTAGCAGGTTTAACATTCTGATTGGAGGCTACTTGCTCGAATTGCCTCTCCAAATTTCTCAAATCAGTCCTGAGATATTAATTGTCAAGCCGAAGTTGTTGATTGTCGGTTCCAAGCTGTTGGTTGTCAAGTAATAACTTTTTTAACCAGTCATTTGTGCTCTCTTCTGCTTGCTGTGGTGGTGTCTGGGTTTGGTAGAAGTTTCCTTGGGGTATGTATTAGTTTTAATTTTGACTTTGATTGACCCCATGAGAAGTTTGGGTGATTCCTCCAGTTGGGATTATAAGTGTTCCCATATTGTGCATATTGGTTCATTCAACCTTTAATCTGCTGGCCCACATAATAAATTGATTCTGGAATTACCAGACATTAATTACTCGTGTGACCTTCTCCATAAATTTCACAACATATGGCCATCCTTTGAACCTGATGCATTTGATGCCCTTGACCCACTGCTATCTTAGCCATTTGGTTGGTCAGTTTAGCAATTTCTGCTTGCATGGCTGACATCTCATCAAACTCGAATGTACCTGCTGCTTTCTGTCTTATCATTCTTCTTGGTTCATCTTCACCTTGCCAGTTATGATCATTCCAGTGATGTTGTTTAGTAGGGTTTGAGTTTCACTATATGGCTTTTGCATGAAACTACCTCCACAAGCTGAGTCTAGATTAAATTTAGAGGTCTCGTCCAAACCATCCACAAAAGTATGATCCAAAACATAATTAGTTTGACAGTGATGCGGGCAATCTCTAAGTAGTTTTTATATCTCTCCCGGGCAATCTCTAAGTAGTTTTTATATCTCTCCCAAGCTTGATGTAGAGTCTCGCCATCCTTTTGTTGAAACCCTAGAATTTGGCTTCTCAGTGATTCTATTTTCTTTGTGGGAGAGGATTTGATGAGGAATTTCCATGCTAGATCATCCCATGTGCAGATTGAGTTTGCTGGCTCTTTGTTCAACCACTCATTTGCTTCCCCCGACAGAGAAAAAGGAAATAAAGTCAGTCTGACATAGTCCTTGGAGACGTTAGGATAGTTGTATGTATTCGTGATCTCCAAAACATTCTATATGTGCCTTTGCGTATCTTCATTTGAAAAATCCACAAATTACCCTGTGGATTGAATCAACTGCACCACGTGCTGTTTCAGCTCGAAGTTCTTAGTTATGCCAGGCTTCACGATAGCCCGAGTTATGTTCGCGAGACTAGGCCTTGTGGCCTCAATCACTGGTCTCCCATCATTCTCTGCCATCTCGATTGACTGTGGTTGGACTACAATGCCCAACTCTATAGTTTTTGCTCTTGCTTCCGCCTCCCTCCTTAACTTGTGAAAGAGTCTTTAAGGTTTCAGGAACATGGGGAGGAAGATTGTTCAAACCGTTACTTCTTCTTAGTATTCAATGTGAACACTTGTAGAATCAAAAACAGTAAAAAAATTAATTCTCGAAGAAAAACAAATAAAAGCCTATTTCAGAAAAGTAGCTACTTTCTAATCCCTGACAGCGGTGCCAAAAACTAGTTGGGTCTAAATGCACATGCAAGTATACGTAGTTGACAAGTAATAAAGTGATAAAAGAGTATCGTTCCCACGAGAATTTATGATCAACTACTGCCAAAACTAAACTAGTTACAAGCTATTTGTTCAAGATATTTTGAGGAAGATGATTGTAGTTTTTACTTACTAAATTACTGCAAAACTAATAAGCAAATAAGAGAATAAGATCACAAGTAGAGCAAATAAACACGTAGGAGTGAATTCAATATGATGGGGGATATTCCAGGGTTATGGGATTAATTCCTCTCCTATTGTATTCTTCCGGTTGATTCAACTACTTAATCTATCTAATTTGTTGATTAACAAGATCTAAACTGATCGAAGTTTTTTCGACGCCTCGCTCGCCTGTTCAAGCCAACCGAACACTATTTGTCTATAGAATCAGAATTAGCTAGAACGAATGTGCAGCGTCTGCAATAATAACCAAGTAAGGCAACTAGAATATGTCTATCCTAATTGCAAATCTATTCTCTGATGCCTGGATTCAAGAACTTACTTTATTCAATCTTATATGCAATCTATATTTCCCACTTTCTTGTTCAACTATAAATTCGTAGATAGTATTCTACTATTAGCTATGCAATAAAATAATTGAGCACAAGATTGAATAATCAAATTAATATGATAGAATCAAGCAATATCATCAATCGTCAAAGAACAAAGTCAATAACAACCCATAACCCTAGAATAATGAGGTTTTTAGCCACTCATATTCATAATAATAATCAAAGTATTGTTTTTATACATAGAAGCTACGAAGACTAGATGAAAGATGTAAAAATCAATGAATTTCGTGCTCCATTTGTGTTTCTATGCCTTTGCCTCCTTCAAAATTGACCAACCTCTTTAATAATCATGTTTAGGCGGTATTTATAAGCTAGGTTAGGAGTCTCCAAGTGCGAAATTGAGTAGAAAATAATTTATTCGCGGACTGGGAGACCAGGCTTTAGAGCTCGCGAGGCCTGGTCTGTAGCATGGTTGAGCGCACCTCAAGCCAGGCGAGGCGAGGTCTGGGGCGAGGTTGAGCTCGCCTTAGACCAAGCGAAGCGAGGTACCCTTGCCTTGCTCCGATTTTTTTATTCTCGTACTCTTTTCATGAGTCTTCAACATCTTTTTGTGCAACTTTTATACTTTATGTATTCCAATGATCCTCCACTTAAAAACAACTTTATTAAGCTCAAAGGTCACACAATTAATCATTAAAGTACTAAAATGTAAGGTAAGCAATGCACTAAAAATATACATTTTTAGCCGAATATCACTCCCTTATGTCACCACATGCGCATCTAGCCACCCTGATCTTGCCGCTTGCATATCACAAATGAAATGCCTCCCTTATATTGCCGCATACGCACGTACAATCAATCCGCACAACATGCCCACATGTGGCACAATCATCACAAAATGCAAGATAACAATTTATCATCACGAGGTACATCCTCATAACTCATCAATAAAGCACACAAGGACATGATAACAACAAAAGTTCGAATAAAGCATGACTAATGTTAAATCAAGTATAGCAACCAAGTTCAAGAAGTCATACAAAGGATCATATATGTATCACAGAGTGTACACGTTCTAATCAAGTTATATTACAAGAACAAGTCCTGATGTGTGTTCATAACCTACGTGTATCTATCTTCAAGGCAAATATGGCATAAGTATCAAGATTTGCTCATCATGTTCAATATAAGGTACCAATAGCCTCAACATTTCTCTACCATGGTTTATAGTACTCACGAAGTTGATTAATTTAACAATACATGGAACCAAGTAAAAAACACAACCAAATAAGACATAGAGTAAGCTAGAATCTACCCCGAGCATGAATACGCATGTCACATGTATATACGCTTGTCACCTCATATATACATTGTTACACCCTATATTTTCGTACGTAAAAATGCGTCGTAAGCAAACTAATGTAGGACCAA